TTATCAGCGGCCGATCCCCGGGGCGGACAAGCCCAGGCGCTCCCGTTTGGAAATGAGCTTCTGTACCTGTGGCCTGCTGGAGATTGACTCATATGTGTCATGGGTAATGAGGCATGTTGGGTGACAAGCTCGTGGCTGTCAGGCACAATAAACAAGCAGTGAAAATTGGCCCTGGACAAAAGGCACATCCTTTTCGGCTGCAGATGAGGTTGAATGTGGAGTGATGGATTGTGATTCGCATGACATTGATTGTGTCACTGAGTTTGCTTGTGCATCAGTTTTTATGTACTAATTACTTCGAGCTACTTAAGCGCCGTGCCCAAGAGTACTATTACTATTGATCAAGAACATGATCTAAAATGGGTTAATCTCGCCAAAACTGTCCAGGCCATATTTCACCTCATAATCAATAGAAGAAGAAAAAAATGTAAGTCTTTTTAGCACCATTAAGATTTTGCTGAATCTGTTGAAGGAAAGTATAACCCAAATGAATGAATAAATAAGCATTGATTGATTGATTGATTGATTGATTGATTGACAAGATAGAAAAAAAATCAGTTTTTTTCCTTCACTTTTTGAAATGCAAAATTTGTCTCCAATTATTAGAATCACTCACGAGTCAAATGAACTTCAAACGTTTAAAGTAGGTAAAAGGTGATACATTTTTTAATGATTATTGTGTTCAAGAAAATATACATCAGAGTAACTTGCATGCCATTTTCCATAACATACAGTACATTCACTGAAAATTCACAAATACATTCACTTGGCCTACACATAAAGATTTATTCACGGCTGAACAGCCAAACATCTCGCCGAAAAATGTCAAAAGATATTGGAAACAATGCAATTATGCTCCATATTTGATCACAGACATTCATTCCCATACACGTATTAAAGGTTAACAGCCTCAATGACTTCTATATTTAAAGAAAATTATATGTACAATATTCTGTTGTTCAGGTATGAGCTCAAAAATAAACATTTTAGTGTCTCTTAGACATAAGCAGACGGGATCTTATCAAAAAGATTTAAAGGATCAGGAAACATGTTTCTTGCCCCCTTATTTGTTATTTTTTTTGTTTTTTTTGCATGAAGGCTGACCGTGGCTTTAAATGATCTGTCGTGGCCATACATTGGCAGTAATATAAATATAAAAGCTTCATGATTGTTCAAAGGAGAGAATCCTGGACATGAGCATTTATTATTGATTTTTGATCACCATGGCCTCAAAAAGTATTTTAACACACAAGTCACTCTTAAACATGTATAAATTTGCATTACAAAATATCAAACAATCTAATGCAATACTTTTTGGGGCCACTGTATGGTCTGGATTCTATAATGCAATTTCTAGGATACTCCATAAATACATAAATGCTCCCTTAATGTAAATAATGTGTGCATGGGAAAATAGTTGATTGTTGCTTTATTAAAGGTGAAAAAGATGGCAAATATTGTAGAAACAAATAAATAAGATAGAATAAAGATCAGTTTGGATGATATACAGTACAGACACTTTAGCAGCACCTTGACATTCTAGTCTATAGTTTTCATTAATTTGTATTCTGTACATATCTAACATATTTATTACACCCTTTTTGGCTGTTTCACTGACATGACACAGATCTCACAGGTTATACAGATTAACCTTAAAGTCACCATAATAGAGCGCCTATTTCATGAACTTTCTACTGAGCAAGAAAAAAAAAAAGCTGATTTGGTTACACTACATTACAGGGTCCATATTAATATAATTGATTACAATTTGAGAATAATCAGTATGCATAATTACAGGCTTCTCCACAAAATAATTGCATATTAAGAACATTTTTCATTACTGTTGCACACAAAAATATAAATCAATTGCAAACGCATTGCCATGCTTCCTATTAGGGCGGGTTGTGCTTTTTTGTATGCCTTTAATTTACATCAGCAAACTCGGCAAAACTGTGAACGTGATTTCACCAAGTACACCGTGTTCCTGGATTAACATCTTTGTTGTTCCCGGTGTTGTGCCGAATTTCAACCCCCGCCAAAATATTACCCCTCTAGCATTGGTAGGTTTAGGATTAGTTGTGGGGGAGGGGTTAGGATTAGGGGCGGGGTTGGGATTAGGCAATCAGGGGGGTAATAATTTGGCAGGGGGTCGAAATTCGGAACAAATCAGATTTGCGGGACAAGTTTACAGTTACTGTCAAGTTTAAGCCAACCAGGGTTTAGTGCTTCAGTGTTATTCACCGATCATTTTTCCTCTGATTTTAGGGATAAGTTAAGGGTTGGTTTTGGGGTAGGGATATGGTTTGGACTATATTTTCAGACAGGAATATAACAAAATATGTTGATCCAGGAACATGTCTTACTTGGCAAAATCACGGTGACCAGATCCCCCTAATTCATTCAGATCCATTTTGTTCAGTTCGTTCACTAAACATGTTCATTCAGTAGGTTCAGTTAACGAAATTGCGCGTAATGTAGGCTACGCGTGCTATAGACAGTATTTAAAGACAGAAAAACAGTCACACGTTTCAAAAGGACGATACTTAAGTGCGCGGAAAATATGAGTCTGTATATGGAAGTGAACTAGAATGAAAAGAGTCATTCAAAAGCACTGATTCATTCACTTAAATGATTCATTCGATTTGTTCACTTAAAAGATGAATTCAAAAACGATTATTTGGACGGAAGTGTATGTGTGTGTGTGTGTGTGGGGGGGGGGGGGGGGGGGGTTGTATATGATCTGGCAAACAAGATAACCCTGTGGTGAAAATACAGTTTTTAATGTTGTTTATATGTCTGTGTGGTGTTTTGAATATGCTTTAAGGCAAACCATGTGCAAATTCATAAGTCAACAGAACACCATTGCTGAATATTTTTGTCCTTAAACCTTGAAAGAGTCTCAAAACCCCGGTTTGAAATCACTGGTGTCTGACATCACAAACTACCTTGTAACCAATCACGTCGACGTACCGGCGGGTTTTAGCATATCATTAACAGCGAACTAGCAGGGGAGACTCGAGAGATGCCAGGTTCTCCCTGTATATTTTTCTGTTGGTATGAAAAATTGGGTAGATTTATCAATATGGCGTGTATATAACGATGTTATTAACTATATGCCTTTCTCCACTGATGTTCCTAGTAGTTCAATCCATTTGTATGGATGCTGATCTTTAGAAGGCAGCTGTCTGACTGTCTGAGATTCGAACTATGTAACATTAGCAACACATTATTTGCTGTTTGATAATATAGTCAAGCAAAAGGCTAATAATATTAATTACCGTTATGTGTCCGACGTTGTAAAGAGTGACTCCATTGTGCAGCGTTTACCTCAGTAAATTGACCGAGTTAATCTCTGAGAGGGTGTGAGTGAGTGGAGGCGGGGCTCATTAGCATATTCATATTTTTTACAGGAAAAAATAACGTTTAAATATGTCATTTTGGTGATCAAAGATGAGTTTTAAGGGATACGATTATTGACTACAGGGGGATTTTAATATTTCGGTCTATTTTCCTGAAATTGAAAAACTGTAGCCAACTTTTAGGAGTACAAGAGCATACCTCAAACTAGTCCACATGGACTAAAAGCCATATTAGACTAAAAGCCTCAATCTTTAACATGGACGCTGTAATGGAAAGTGACCATTTTCAGTTGTGTAAGAAACCATTTTTTACCACCATCGCAGCTTTCAGCAGAACCACCATCATTTATAGGCCCTGCTGTAAGAAGACAGGTGAATACAGTCTTGTCTACGACAGAGATCATACATTTTTAAGTCTACCTTATCTACGAACATGTTCCCCGCTGTATTGTTTAAATATATATGCACCACAGTTAAAGCACTCCAGATGGCAGCCTGTTACTCCACGCCGCTGTGAAGATAAATGAACGTGGTTTTTCCCCAATAGCTCACTCTGGAGAAAGTAATTGATTTTATTTGAAAAGTGTTCTCTTTTTCTCTTTCTTTTTTTTTCTTTCTTGAGGCTGCCCAGCAAAGGATAAATGAGTCTGTGTGGTAGAAGTTTCAAAGTCTTAATTATTTAGTGTTTGCCACTGTGATAGAAAATCGTTTCATGTACTGAGCAATGAGTGTCTTCGAATATCGATTGAAACGATGAAGAATAATTCCACTCTAAAGGTATTTTTTGCCTTAATTGTACATTTAACAGTCAGTTGCACCAGAAGCTTTTTTGTTGTTGTTGTTGAAGCAGAAGTCTTTGCGTTTCATCTTCATCAGGCAGCGATACTGAAGCGGGTTTCCAGCACTGAGCATATCTAAAGGCTTGAATAAGAGCTTGTGTTGTTTGCGAGCAGCCCTTGGAGACCAACAGCATATTAAACCAAAATGCCAGCGTTGTTTTTTAATGTCACAAAGGGAGAGAGTGCTCTTTCTCTTTGCTGAGAAGGTTAGAGAGGAAAGGTGGTTCACAAACAGTAAACATCTTGTTGGCTCCAGCTTCAAATCTATTTTCTGCATGTAAAATGTTGCTTTGGTTTGCAATCAACTGAAAAACATGCTAGCTAGGTCTTGGCGATACATTGAATACAGGCAATTTTATTGCAATATCTATTCTGACGGTATAAAATTAGGGAATATTGTGTAGCTATATCCTGATAATGTTGAAAGTTTTGCTTATAAAGACAGTAAGCCATTTCAAAGGTTTCTTTTTACAACATGTCAAAACAGCATGGTTGGTTGAGAGCCAAATGTATGTACTTTGTAACAATAGTTATTTTTTTATAGCTATGGGGGGGGGGGGGGGGGGGGTAGAAATCACTTTTTAAAATTTTTGGCGAGCAAATGGAAAAATATTGATATATGCATTTTTAGCCATATCGCCTAGCCCTAGAGACAAACATGTATTTTAATCACATCGATATGTATATTGGAACAAATAGACGGTCATCATCACCTGGAATGCAAGCAAGCCTTTCATGAGTTCCCTTGACTTTGAGTTGAAGTCTTTTTTTGCATTAATACCCTGATGGGCATTGGCATGTTATCGGTTAAAAACGACCACTTCTAAGTGTTTTGTTGCCAGAGAAAGAACCTCATTTTGGCCGCGAGATGTCTCAGAACCTGACATTGGATCTCTTATTGAGGCACTTCCTAACAAACCGATCAACGCCTTCTGCTTGTCACCAGTCGGAAGGACTTTCCCCAAGCTCGCCCGGCTCAGCAGCCAGGGTTATATTGGCAAGGCATCGCTTGAGTTGGCGATCAAGAGGATATGCAGACTGGTTTGCCGTTCTTGTCGTACTGGTAGACCAGCATCTTGATGCAGTGCGAGTTGGCCGGTGAGATCCATGGGCTGCTGGTGATAGAGAAGTTGTGACTGGCGTAAAAAGGTGGAGGCTGCTTTCTACATCGGAATAATGCCTTTAGCACCGTCCCGGCCATCCTGCGGAAACGCTTGCTGATGAAACAATACAGGAAGAAGTTGACCCCGGTGTTAAGCAGCGCGAGCATGTTTGCCACATCCGTGACCAAGTGCAGCAATCTGGCCGGGCCAGGCGTCGCCGGCTGCGCCGTGTAAAGATGGTAAAGGATCATGAGCGTGCGGGGCGCCCACAGAACGGCGAACACCGAGGTGATTGCCAGCAGGATTGCCGTGGTCTTTCCGGTTGAGTACCCTCGAAGACGGAAGCAGCTACGCCGGCAGCGGAGCTTGCGTACAATGATGGCGTTGAGCGAGAAGAAAACCGAGCAGGGGAGCAGGTAAACTGTGGCGCAGTGAACCCAAACCAACACGTGCTGCCCTGCACTGCTGCTCCGGCCACCGTTACTCGCTCCCGGGAGTCCGTGCCACAGCTCCGGCCACCAGTAATACGGGATGCTGGAGATCAGGCAGCCGGCGTACACCGCCAAGATCACTTTGCGGGTCCGGGCCGGGTAGGATACGGTGTGGTAGCGCAGCGGATGGCACACGGCGATGTAGCGGTCCACGGTCAGGGGCACCGTGATCCAGATGGAGGTGTGGATGGAGGAGAACTCCAGGACCTGCACGGCTTTGTTGAGTGAGTGAGGCAGAGGCGCTCCGAGAATGAAGTCCTCCAAAAGGAAGTCCACGAACACGATCAACAGCAGGACCAGGATGTCGGCTACGGCCAGGGCCAACAGGTAGTTATAGGAAGATTTCTGCCGCCGCAGCACCAGCTGAGAAAGGATGATTACCGTGAGGATGTTTGCTGAGGAGCGTGAGAAGAAGATGGAGATGGTGAGAAGAGAGAGGGAGGGAGGAGTGGGTGAGAAAGTGATGAAATCAGTCTTGCAGGATAATAAAAATGCTTCTTTATTAAACTTACGAGTGCAAGAAGGAATCATACAATATTGCATTGAAATTGCAGCACCACAAATAGATAGAAAATGTAGGTTTTTCCACATCTACTGAACACAATCACAATATATGCAAAGCATTTGACTGACACACATCACGCATACACTCGCCTTAATATGCATGCATTCACATGCACACGTTTACATGCAGTTACATGTGTTGACATGCAGAAGAACGTGAAGATTTCATTCATGTTCGAACACATGCATTTGCATTGCAGTCAAACACATCTTCTTCTTTCTTCGGCGGTCACTCGAGACGAGTATGACTGTCCTCTCCGTCGGGTCACCTTTATTTGTGGATCCTCAGGTGGCTGTAAAGGCCGATCTGTGATCCACAGATTCTGCTGCAATCTTGGCATTAACAATCCTGTGCATGTATAGACACATTCAAATTCACACCTATGCACATTCACGTTCACACACACATACACATGTTCACACACATGCACTCTCATTAATACATTCACACACATATGCACATTCATTTCACACACACGCACAAGCACATTCACGTTTTCACATATGCACACTCATCATACACATGCACATTCACATGTTCACACACATGTGCACTCATTCATACACCTGCACATTCACACACATGCACATTCACATGTTCACACACATGTGCACTCATTCATACACCTGCACATTCACACACATGCACATTCACATGTCCACACACATGTGCACTCATTTATACACATGCACATTCATTTCACACACATGCACATTCACGTTCACGCATGCACACTCATTCATGCACCTGCACATTCACACACATGCACATTCACATGTTCAAACACATGCACACTCAATCATAAACAATTCACATTCATTTCACACACATGCACAAGCACATTCACGTTCACACACATGTGCACTCATTCATACACCTGCACATTCACATGTTCACACACATGCACACTCATGCACACTCATTCATACACCTGCACATTCACATCACACACATGCACATTCACATCACACACATGCACATTCACGTTCACACACATGCACACTCATTCATACACCTGCACATTCACATCACACACATGCGCATTCACATGTTCACACACATGTGCACTCATTCATACACCTGCACATTCACACACATGCGCATTCACATGTTCACACACATGTGCACTCATTCATACACCTGCACATTCACACACACATGCGCATTCACATGTTCACACACATGTGCACTCATGCACACTCATTCATACACATGCACATTCACATCACACACATGCACATTCACATGTTCACACACATGCACACTCATTCATACACCTGCACATTCACACACATGCGCACTCACATATTCACACACACATGTGGACTCATTCATACACCTGCACATTCACACACATGCGCATTCACACATACACACACACATTTATACACATGCACATTCATTTCACACACATGCACATTCACATGTTCACACACATGCACACTCATTCATACACCTGCACATTAATTTCACACACATGCACATTCACATGTTCACACACATGTACACTCATTCATACACATGCACATTAATTTCACACACATGCACATTCACATGTTCACACACACTCATTCATACACATGCATATTCAATTTCACACACACTCATTCATACACTTGCACATTCAGATGTTCACACACGTGCTCACTCATTCATACACCTGCACATTCAGATGTTGACACACGTGCACACACATTCATACACATGCAACAATGTGTACAAACACATTCACATGTCAAATGCTTAAGAGATCTTGACCTGAGACTTTGTCATTCAATTCGTCCCTCTTCTTCCTGCCTCCCTCTTTTCCTCCACAGCTTTCACCTCTGTCTCATTGTGACCTTCTATAAAACCTGAACAAGCAGCAGCAACACGTGCACAATTACATCCAAGCGCTGGTGCTTATGCAATGCTCTGCGTCCAGGTCACAATGACCCAGGAAAAAAGACCCAAGGATACACAGACCCCCGAGCATCAACCCCTTCCTCTTCTAACCCTTTCACTGCTCTGCCTCCATCCAAACCTGTATGGTTTGTTGGTCACACTCAGGCAGAGTGAGATGTACGGGTATAAGAAATGACCAGCGATTGCCATGACCTCTCACTGTGATGAAAAGAGCGTGCACACAAAAGTGCTGCCTTTGTTCAAGCCAAACAATTTAACAGCGGGAGGATAAAGCCTCATTACAATAGACCTCAGGAAACATTCTGGTGTGTTAACCTAAAAAGAAATTCGCAGCCAATGTCCTACCTGTCGCCCCACCGTAGCCAATGGGCTGCAGTGTGGAAGGAAGGGTATATACTGGATGAAAAACTTCAAAGTGTTTTGCACCCGTGGTGTGTCTCTGTCTGCCTGACAGTCATTCGGGCTGCTAATAAAGATGGAATTGGATTACATATGCCAGTCAGGAGTCTGGAGAATCGCACTTCACAGTTCCAGAACATCACCTGATTACAAATTACAAAGACTCCAGCCTCAAAACTCACACATTTGCATAAACACCTGCAATCTCAGGCACACAAGCATCCTTTTCAAGATGTATAGAAATAGGGAGGGACAGACAGAGATGCGTTTGATCGACACATGCGCATAATCTGTTCATAATCAAGTTTGAAGAAAAGTTCTCTTTTACCTTTTCAGGAGAAAAAAGCAAATCAAGCTATCTATCTCTCTCACAGTTGAACTCAACATGTAAATAAAACACTATGCAGTCTTTGGAGCACTGTTCCCAGAGGAAAATTGTATTGCCTATTTAGAGGATTAAAGTGTTTTTAGGTTCATTTACGTATATGTGGTTAGAGGAATAGCATTAGCACACTACTATTATTATTTTTGCAGAAACCATAGTAAGCTAGTTGGTAATGCTTATTAAATGTGGATTAAACCCCATCCTCTACTCCTTCATTATGGCAAATCCATGAGATCCTTTGTATTTTATTGAAACAAATGACTAAATAAATAAAAACTCCTCTCCTCTTGTGTTTACAGACAGGTTAAATGACGCACAAATGTGATACTGAATGCTAATTGGCTTTAAATCTCCCTTGTGCCTTTTTTTGGACGCATTTTGGGAAGTGCATACGATGTTGCGTTATTTGAATATGCAGTTTCATTACAATTCGTTATAACCTCTAACATTACATTACGTTTCCCATTGGTTTACAGACAGAAGTGAACAGTGCTTGGAAAGCTTGATTTGAAAAACTTTATCGTGCACATTTCGGAAACCTCCGTAGAGAGAGCGGGTGCAATCCCGTGTATGCCAAGTTCAGAATAGGGCTGTGTTTCAAATCACCCCCTATACCCTCATTCACTAATCCCTACATTACTCCACTAATATCCTTCACTTGAAGTGAATGAGTGAATGAAAACAATTGGGTGAATTCACACACTGAGTGGCTATCTATACCTGTATGATATTACGCTGGACCCTCATTGGACCAGCGGTTTGGAAAATGGATGGATGATTCAGATGCGGGCGCCATCTTCTGGTAGGAAGCGGGAATTCATTCGACCCTCACAGTGCATTATGGGTATTGTCTAGCCGTTGAGCGTGCATCGCTTGTACACTCGTTATTGCGGTGCATTGTGGGATTGAATGAGTGCACTGGATAACGTCAAAGACCATAGAATAGCACAAGATGCATCGCTTGTATTGTTTTGAATGGGGAAAAGTGCAACGCTCAATATGGCGGAACAAGTCCCGCCTTCTAAATAAGAGCCAATCGCGTCACTGCAGCTGCCGTTAGAAGCTCAGCTTCCAAAGCGCATTAGCTTGATCCAGCCTGAAATGTCGTTTTCTGTCATGATTCGAGCGAAACTACATTTATGAGACAGTTGTCAGATTTCATTGGGGATTTCAAATATGAAATTTAATCATAAGCTTGGCAAACAGTATTGGTGAATTTGATGTTTCCCCATTCAAAAAGATAGGAGCTGCGCTTGCATGACTGAGAGGCATTTCAAAGATGTCCTCTGAGTGAAATGACTTGTCTTAAAGTGACTTTGATACGTCCACTGGTTTTGTCCACTACAAATGGCTGTCCCTTCAAATAGTGCACTAGTCCAATCTAAGGGTATGGGGCAATTTCGGACACATCGCCACTTCAACCTAGAAGCTTTGCGCAATATCACTACGTGAAATATCACGGCCGTACAGAGAAGGAAATGATTAGTTGAATAAACTCGTTATTTTTGTTTGTTTTTTGCGCACAAAAATTATTCTCGTCGCTTGATAAACTTAAGATTGAGCCACTGTCACTCGGACTATTTTAACGATGTCTTTCATAACTTTTAGGCCGGTCAGTTTCGATCCCTTAAGAAGCCTATGGAGGAGTGATCCAGCTCTCAGATTTAATCAAAAATATCTTAATTTGTGTTCCGAAGATGAACTGAAGTCTTACGGGGTTGGAACAACATGAGGGTGAGTAATTACTGACAGAATTTTCATTTTTGGGTGAACTATCCCTTTAAAACACCTAATTAATATTATTATTGTCAAATGATTCAACGCTTTGAATTCTGACTCATCTATATGGTTCAATATTCAAGGCTACAGAACCTTCATCTCTAATGTCTAGTGACAGCCCAGGATTGAACTATAAAATGAATTTGAATTAAATGAAATGATATCTGAGTTAATTTGAGTTGAGCAAATCTGAGCACAATTGAGGGTTCGTCTGAAACGTGGGATCTTTTATAAAGAGAAAATCCCGAGATTCAAGAGACATGTCTTCTCTTGATGGCATTGCTTTCTAAAGAAACAATAGAGATCTCATTTTAGATTTGTCTTTCTTTTCTACAGGCTACACAAAACAAGCTTTCCGGTGTCAAACTCACTCCTTTTTTCCCTTTTTTGTGGATCACTAACAGGATAATGAAGGTTATTTTTGTGTCTGTGTTCAGTGACAACAGCCTGAACTGTATTATAACAGAAAATAAATTCTGTTTGATTTCCTCTTCAACGCTATATTGTTTTTTGTCATAGTAATGGATATTATCTGTGAAACTGAATGACTCACTTCTCTCTCATGTGCATCTAATTCTGTAGTTTTTTTAATTCAGTATTATCAGTTTAAGATGTATTTTTTTCTAGTCTTAGAGTTCATTTAATTCTGACAGTTGTATTTCAGTGAGTCTTTAAGTTATCAGACTGTGGATCTGTATGTCCTTGGCTGTGTGGATCAGTTTGTCTTGCAGACGTCGTGTCTGTGTGTGTTCATGTGTATCAGAGTGTCACTAAGGCTGCAGTCAAAAATAAAACCCAGATTCACCAAATCCCACTCTCAACTCCCAGTTTTACTTTCCTTATCCGCTTTATTCTTCCTTTATACTCCACTGTCCATTGTACTTTTGTTTGTGGATTTCGCTTTCTCTGGATTAATCTCTCCAGATGCTCCGCTGAGAATGTACTTTATTTAGTCAAACAAAAGGGATGCACTGGCCCTGGAGGTCGTACATTTCCTGGCATTTCCATTTAGTTGGTCAACACCGTAAGCATATTGATTTCACTTGACTCCTGTCTTTATGCAGGTCTCTGAACGCCCAGAACAGGAGCAACCAATTTTAATGGCTCAGTTTGCTTTGAATTCACATGTGTTTGTGTCAGAATGGAAAACTAGTGTATTGCTTACACTACATACTTTTCTTTCATTACGTAGTATATAGTCCACAGTATTTGGCAGACATTTTATAATGTTGTCACATGACCTTGCGATGTTGAGGGTTTCATTCAACAAGTGACATCTTACTTACGACTTTTTTTTTTTTGCATTGTAAAATTGTCTAAACTTTTGTTCAAATAAATAACGAGTCTGTAATAATGAAACTGTGCAAAATATGCAAATACTGCAAAAACTCAAAAGAAACATTGCTGATGAGATCTCTTTGCTATCCCATTTGTTTTTCCTGGATACCAGTGTGGCCCACCTGGGATTACCGTAAAACTTCAAATAATAGCCGAGTCCCAAATAGACGCCTGTCTCTTTTACACGCCTGGTGTGGCTGCAGGTTTGGGTAAATAAAGGCCGGTCTCAAATAGAGGCCGGGTCTGTTTTTTAGTTTCGGGTTGTATTTAATCCTCTAAAACCGCCAGATCGCCCGCTTTTTGGCGGCCGCCAAAGCACATTTTTGTCCCTCCAAAGCCTTTTTTTGATCGATGAGTGATGTAGAATCTGCGCTTGACAGGGCGCGTAACGAGCAGAGAGAGAGAGAGAGCGCAAAGACCGCGCGCGCGCACTCTCCCGTCTTCAAACAACGAGCGCTGTCTTGCTCTCTCTCCCTCGCGCATATTCAAAATGAATTGATGCGATAGTAAAAGGTCGGAAGACCGCAGTTTCACGTGGAGCATTTGGAGATTTTTAGAGATTAGAGACAGGCCTATACACTCAATGAACGACATCTCAACACTAAATTATAAAGGCCTGTCTCATATAGACGCCTGTCTCAAATACAAGCCGGTGCAGTTCGACGATTTGGGTAAATAAAAGCCCGGGCTACTATTTGAAGTTTTACGGTAAAAAGCTTTTTCGTCGATCGGATCACAAGTGGACGTAAATACAGGTGTAAATGGGGTCTAAAACCTTTTGAGCTTGTCCACTTTCGACCACTTCCAGAGATGAAAACGCATTAGACCGGATTGCTTTTTTAGTGTAGATGCTCATGTGGTCGAATGCGTTCAAACAGCCACAAAAGATGCTAACTCTCCACATACTGACCTAAAGAGTAAATATTATGGGAAGCGAGCTAGACGGATGGGATTTAAACTTTGTCAGCTAAAGACCCAAGTTTGGTTTAAAGATGAAAAACATCCCAATCATGATGTTCTCTCAACATTCCTGATTTCTAACACACACTCACAACTGCTGTTCTCCGTATGTTTTTTCGTCGAGTTCATATATAAATTGTGCAAGCTTTTTTTGTCCATTAGATCGAAAGATCTGAAAAAAGCCCATACATTTACCCGTCCATAGATCCTCCCATCGAAGAAATCAGGACAGAAGTGGATGAAAGTCGACAAAAGAGACAGATTAAAACACCAGGTGTAAACAGGAATGTGTCTCCCTCGTCTACCTGTGATCCGATCGAACAAAACGCATCTTAATGCGGTGTAAACAGGTCCTTAGATCACATTGAGAGCAAATTGAGACTTTTGCTTAAGTCTCCTGCTTCTCAGATCATGTTTATCCTATGAATGAGATCCCAGTAATCTCACATTAATCTCTAAGTATTTCAGAAAAGATCTTAAAGTTGTGTCAAACTGTGCTCAGATTTAACAAGATAAAGTCTGCAATGAACTTTTCCCTCTGGGTTCAGCAACTCTCAGGTTTCCAGACTTTCTGATGGTCCTGACCCGAACACAAAAAAAGCTCACAAGCACTTTCCTCACCGAGGCGGTGAGCTCTCAGAGAGCCCTGGATCGTTTACCTAAATTGAAAATCATTGGCTCCACCTCTTAAGTGGCAAATAACACCACCAGGGTAATGTAGAGCCGGCGAGAAGATCGTTACTGTGGATCTGTGACCTTCCAGGATAGTCACTCTCTGGATAAAAACCCTTCATCTTCAATAGAAATCACCAAAACACATAAATCAAACAGTCCTTCAGTTCAAAAAGGCAATGAAATAAGAGCAACCGCTTCCAATTAGTGACCTTTATGAGCTTAACCTCCAGCGATCAATCGAACGGGCATGAGCTCATCTCAACACACTCATATTTCTGTGGTTTCGGGGATATACAGTACAATCATAAAATGTTCTTCAAATTTCATTAAACTGTAAATTACAGGTTCTCACAAGTTGCCACTCAGTTCACAGCCATGCAGCTGAACTTGAAGTTATTTGAAGGAAATTATTATAATTTTTTTTAAGTATGAGCATGTGGCAGTGTGTCTAATTTAAATAGCTTCTACAAAGACTTACACCTGAACGTTGCCGAACTGTCTTTGACGTCAATGTCTCTTTCCTTGTTAAAAGCCTATTTTGCTGCTCTAATATGCGCAATTAATTGCACATTATCATTTAGCATATTTTGGTTTCAGATCAGACATGCAACCCACTGCTATACTTCATAGTTGTGTTAAACTACAATATTTTTTTAATCATTTGTACGCAATTTTACAATTAACTGGTGATCTACATGAAATATTTGCATTTTAAAAAAATCAAAATGGTGATTAAAAAATGATACATTTACAGCGTCGAAAATGTACACTTTCCTTCAGACATTATTTTAAAATGTATCATGTATATTCCATGATATATAAATGTTATTTGTTACTGTAAAAACAACCTCACTCTTCACCTTCTTTCCCTTTAATCACACCTGCTTTTAGTCAACCTCTCTCTCTCTCTTTCCACTCTCTTCCCATCCGTTCTCCGTGTTTTTTCTCACTTTCTGTGCACAGTCCCTTTGAGAGGTTTCTCTTCTTCACCTCCATCCAGCCAGAATCACTGCCAGGTGTGATGACTTTCACACAGCGCTGAATAAAGACTCTAATCTCGTCTCATCACGCTTCTTGTTTGTCCCACAAACCCGCACTGGAGTCGGAAATTCAAGCCGCTATTTAGCAGCCGAGCAACAGGAAGGCTGACTGCCTCCGAAAGCAAATGAAAATATTTGTGTAAACTGCTCAGGCTGAGTGCTTCGCTCAAGGGCACAGTGATTTATCTCAATCTGACAAAGAAATCATTCCGCTGAAACTGTGCCACACGCCATTCGACCTGAGAGGGAGGCTTCGATTAAATATGCAGCACACCTGCAAATAATACCAATTGTCATATATAGGCAATCAACCTCCAATTGTGTAGGGACAAAATGTCATTTTAGTGTCCAAGAGGTTGAATATTAAACGCCTGTGGCCAATTATTAATATGACGACTACTCAAGATGTCTGATGCATCATCTGTCTTGCTCCCCAGGTCATTCCAGTTAAAGCCGGATCTAATTTCATCATCTGTGGAATAACGGGTATTTCTTGCTGGTTTATGATTACAAGCCTGTGGAAATGATGTGAGACTCTGTATTCTGTCCCGTCACGCAGATGACCTTTGGAAACAGTGTTTTCCCACAGTTCTGATGGCAGTTGCGTCCCACAAGGTTACGGACAATTCCGTCAAGGATGTTACTAATCAAGATTAAGTGGGACCGAAGACAACATTTCAAAGAGTCTGCTTCAAAAAAAAAAAAATCCAGCACGGCCACAAATGCGATTGTGAATATTTATCCAAAAAAGACAAAAGCATGCAGAAGCATACATTGTGCACTAAGCAATCAAGATTTTAAGAATCTGCGTGAAAAACTGTATTGATGGATTACAAATGTGAATATCGTAGGCAAAGCATTTCTCTCACCCCGATGCAGTTCACAATTACACAAAGTCATGCATATTAAAGCCATGCATTAAACAACAAGACTTTGAGGAAGTATTGATCGCCCACAAATGTGAATATAGAGGACGATGCACTCCTTCTCACACCATGCACTTCATAAACACATGCATGAAAACATACATTGTGCACTAATGATCTTTCTTACCAGGCAGGCCGAGGCACAGCAAGGAACTGTAGTAGATGATGGGGAACTGTCCGAGAGGGCAACCGCGAGGACTCCAAGAGCTGGAGTTGGTGGACAGTACGGTGAAGATGTGGCTGTGCTCCATGGCCTCTCTGCCCTCCTTCCTCAAGCTCCAGAGAGGAGACGAACCACAGCCGAACCACAGCCGGACCGCAGGACACGCAGAGGGAGAGCCGGCTGGCACGTGTGAGAGTCGGAGAACGACTGCGAGTGTGTGTGCGTGGAAGAGGGGACGCAGACGATGAGAGGCGATGAAGTCGGGCGATGTGATGGGAAGAGAGGCAGGGATGTGAGGAAGAGTGTGTGTGTGAGGAGAGGTGGAGGAGAGAGAGAGAGAGGAGGGGGGTGTTGAGAGCTGGTGAGAATGAAATCTGGGGAGGCATGAACGCAAAAAGGGTGAAAATAAGTGACGAGGAAGGAGGGGGGTGTGAAGGAGAAGAACATTGGAAGAGCGAGAGGCGTGAAGTGAGGAAGAGACGATTCGTGTTGACACCACCGAGAGGTGATTTTTTTTGTGGTGACACACTCGTGCGGCTGAAGGGCGACCCAGGAGTAAATAAGAGCTGTAGCATGACTCGGCAAGTTCACACCAGTTACATGTACAGTACGTCCACGGCACACAGTGATGCTTAGCATTTTGGCATTTTGTGAAGTTGGGAATTTTGTCATTATGTTGGGAAAAATTAAAAGCTAGATGTTTTTATTAATAAATATTATTTCAATTATTTAGTTTTCTGTCACAAAAAAAATAAAAAAATTATCATAATAATACGTATCATTATTTTTATTAGGGATCTTCCGACACCACTTCTTTCCAGAACGTGTCAAATACAGTTTTTTTTCAGTACTTGATGATTTTATTATTATTATTTTTTTGGTACTTGTACAATAATTTTTAGTATTTGCAAATACCGGTATTTAATAATTAGTATTTTTGATACCTGAACCGTATCGGTACAGATCCGGTTCCGTATCGGAACCGTAAAAAGAATATTAATCATATTAGTTGCTTTATTTTGTTTATTAAATAGACGTTGCCTTCCAAGTCTTTTTAACTGGTGATTTTCATGCTTAATTGTGCCTGTTAAAATGTATTGTACGAGCTTCTGTTACTTCCACTGTTCATTTAATTGTTGTGTTGTATTTTGCATTTTATTAAAGGGGTCATGGCATGGATTTTTAAAATCAACGGCCACTCACTATTGCACTCGAGTAAGTGTTTTGAAAACATTATCCATATAAAACTGTCTTTTACAGATAAAACATTATGAAATAATTTACTCACCGTTTGTGTCAGATTCAATACAGCTGACTGCTTCATCTTTTAACAAAGGTTTCCTTGCAAACGCTCTATTACACTGTGCCTTGTTTACAAAATAAAATGCTCCGAACCAACATAAAATCATCCGATGCGATCCGGGACGCCATTAAAATAGACCATCCCATTGTTCCTGATGCTGAGATCCTTCTAAAGTCGCGACAGAAATTAGTGAATGAGCTGTTTAAATAGGACATGTCAAAATGAAAGTTTGTTTACTCACTACATCCAGTTACATTAACTCTTCCATCCAGTGTAGACCGCGTCAGAGATTTATAATGTTTTTTTTTTTTTTTTGCGACGCTCACATCCAGTGTAGGAAAACGTCAGCCGTTAAGTGACTGAACTCCAGTGGGCGGGGCTTATGATGCGATGCTGTTAAACTATTCGTCGATGTCTTGCTCTGGAGGCAGTCATATGCAAATTAATTTGCCCATGTGGCGTCACAAATCCCGCAATATACAACGAGCCGCTTTTGGAGCTTGATTAAATATATGCTTTGTTTATGAGGAGGATGTTTTAAGCTACAAACTTGCAGGATGTTTTCATGGCACAAAGACCTCTTATATGTCAAAAGATCAAGGCAAATTTGATTTCTCATTTCATGAGCCATTTAAATGGCAGAGTGCCGATTAGAGCTGCCACAGTGCTGAGTTACTGTAATCACATGGCATTTTCCTGTAATAAGGATAATTATATTATTCATCCAAATTACATTTGTTTTATTATTTTGCTTGGTTTAATAAAAAACGTTACAATAAAGTAACATTGAATATCAAATTGAATAATATAATACAAATTTGTGCCCATGAGAGCATATGATTGTGGAATTTAAATATATATACTGTATATATATACACACTGCACTTTTGTGGAAATGTTGTTTATCTTTGACTTCATCACTTACTAAATATTAAACACGTTTTTTTTAATGATTAGTATCTTACATTTAAAGATACTTTTCTGAACAAAATGTGAGTGGTGCTACAATAATAATATGAAATGTTATGAATATGAAGAAAGAACAAGTTAATATGTTCAAAACCAACATAAATGAGCAACCTTGGTACAGCAAAAACCCTAAACGTGAGCTCAAAGCAAAAACACGGCACATTAATTTCCTATCATTAATTTTGCATTTAATCATTTAGATACCAGTCAAATGCAGCGGTGATTAAATTTGCGTGACAGTGATGGAAAGCACATGCTCACCATTGCTGTGGGTCACAGAGTGCATTTCTCCAGCACCTGTTTACTTTGCATACTTGATCAGTCATATGTGTGATGTGGAAGGGAAAAGGCTGATTTTCTCCATGCCGTCCTTCTCATAAAGTCATTTTCCCAGTAAATGAGTGTGAAGGGATGGAGAGAACATGGTCCGTTTAATAAAATATAGCTCAGTGACGCGCATTGATTACCGAGAGCGACAGGATGGCAGGTCTTTCCTCATGTTCACACACAGGCCTGAGGCTAAATGGAGCAAACACTGCTCAATGATCTACTTTACTGATACTCATTGCTTCTTAGACTGCAGAAGAACAGACCTTTAAAAACAATGAGTTTGTTTTTTAAATATCGATTTGAATATTAATCAGATGAGACTATTGTATCACTCTAACGAAGCGTCACTTTTATTATGGCACAAGTTCATTACAGAAAGACATAGAAAGAGATTCCATCTCTAAAAGCATTATCCATCAGCCCGGCTCTTAGCGACAGACTGTATTAATAATGAATCGCGCGCTTTAATAGCAGCCCGGTATGCATAACTGTTAAATTAGATGTTTGATTTTTGTGAAGGGTTCAAGGAGTTCACGCATGCCTTTTCATTTGTCATGCTGTCGCTCTCTCGCTTGCGTTCACCCGTTTAAGAAAAAGGTGGGCGTTGACAAGATTGAATAAAGAAATCTTAATTAGAATTCCTCCAGGTAATAAAAAATAACAAAAAATGGGTAAATGCGAAGTAGACAGTGAGGAGAATAGTATCACACACCTGATACTGAGTTAAAGTAGTGTGAAGATCAGCAGCGCGAAGACTTTCTCACTCAATATCTCTGAGATATCACTCAAAAACAGACATGTCTAAACCTGTCTCAAATCAGAATCATAGTGATACTCGTGCTCTGCTCCGAAACCTTGAACTGCCCATTTCATGCTGTTAGTTGTTAGTTGTGCCAAAAGGTAGGACATTCAATTACACTGCGAATGTTCTTTTAGCCATGTACTAAGGCAGAATTACGTGTCCTTTGAAAACTATTCCAAGATGATCCAAGAGAAATATAAACTCATTTAAAAATGATAATATAAATGGAAAAGGACATGCATTTAAAAAAAATATATAATAATTTCTGTGATTTTTGTGCCCTGAATCGAGGAGTTATGTTGCATGTTGATGTCCCCTCGAGAGAGAGATATGCTAATCATGGTTTTAGTTGTCTCAGCTAGGAGGCGTTTGTATCATATTTCAGATGACACATTTTAATCATAATTTTGAATCGCCACAGACAGGCCTATTCTTAAAGGGATTGTTCACCCGAAAATTACAATTCTGTCATAATTCGTAAATTCTGTCATAGTTTACTAAACTAACCCTAACCCTCAAGTTTACCCACTTAAGTTGTTCCAAACCTTTTTCTTTCTTCTGTTGAACACAAATTAAGCTATTTTGAAGAATGTTTGTAACCAACCAGCTGTGGGGCACCATTGACCATATAGTAGCCTATTTATTTTCTCTCCATACTCCATGTTTGGTAACCCATATTCTTCAATATATCTACCTTTGAGTTCAGCAGAAGACAGAAACTTATACAGGTTTGGAACAACTTGAGGGTGAGTAAATGCAACGCATTCTGAGAACGGGCTGGAAAATGATGACAGATTTAGCATTTATGGGTGAACTATCCCTTTAAAGGAGAACTCCGGCGCAAAATTAACCTTTGGTCCTATTACGCATTGTTACCTAGTCAACCGTTCCCTGAGATTTGTTTTCATGATTATCGAATGTAAATAGTTTTATCTCTAAAAACAGTTTTGCCTATAAAGCTAGTATAACGGTAGTATATTGGGCATAGATCAATGACAAATAAAAATCGCTTATTAATACCACTAACAAGGCTGAAAATAGCCCCACACTAACACGGTAGCATAATGAGGGTCCCTACCTTCAAACCGAAGTTGACTGTATGTAAAAAATATCTTCTTATTAAACTGTCTGGACACTGACAAAGTTCTCAATGCTTCGGTTTGAAGGTAGGGACCCTCATTATGCTACCGTGTTAGTGTGGGGCTATTTTGAGCCTTGTTAGTGGTATTAACAAGCGGTTTTTATTTGTCATTGATCTATGCCCAATATACTACAGTTATACTAGCTTTATAGGCTAAACTGTTTTTAGAGATAAAACTATTTACATTCGATAATCATGAAAACAAATCTCAGATAACGGTTGACTAGGTAACAATGTGTAATTAGACCAAAGGTTCATTTAGCCCCGGAGTTCTCCTTTAAGAAGAAACACGCGCGCTACGGCCTTTCGTCACGCCCATTACCAACCTGCAGAGCTGATTAACTCACGTGATCAGTTATGTCTCAGTTATCTGGCAGTAAAGAGAGCGATCTGCAGAATCCCGATTTAAAAACAAATAACGACCGATTTTGAGCAGCCGATTGACCCTCTTCCTGGTTGTACGTTTAATTCAGGTAACCACCATCGATCTCACCTATCTATGTCTAGATAGACATATATCTAAAGGACAAATCAAAAACGAGAAGTCCTGACGAGATTATTAGCCTATTCACTCATTTGGGGAATATCATGAAATTTATTCGATGATTCACTCATGTAAGCTATACACTTACAAAACATGGTA